CAGGATTTAAGCAAGGAAGTCTCGATCAGTGTGATTGAGCAGGAAGCCTTAAACCTAGGGTTTAAACAAGGAAGTCTCATTCTAGTTTGATTGAGCAGGAAGTCTTGAGTTGCTTGCTTAAGCAATTGCAATATGATTGATTATAGTAAAAAGCTCTCATGCTACAAGGGTACTAAAGTATTCTCACTTGAGAGGAACCATGATATATTGTATGTCTTTTATTTACTTTTTCTATAACATTCCGCTGTGCAACAAACTCTAAAATCAAACTCTGATCTTATTCAGACTCTTACTTGGATCAGAATCTGAGGTTGGCATCGTAGGTTCTGAACACATAACTAAACACATACATAAATCAAACATCAGAGTTAAAACAACTTCTTAAATCTAAAATAACATACATAAACACATAAACATATCAAATATTATCAGAGTTAAAATCAAACATCAGACTTAAAATCAAACATACATAACTAAACACATACATAAATCAAACATCCAAAGTTAAAATAACTATCAGAGCTAAAACAACATACATAAGCACATAAACATATCAAATATTATCAAAGTTAAAATCAAACATTAGAGTTAAAATCATTCAATATGACATAGATAGTCTCAAATGTTTTCATTCATAAACACCAAGATTCAGCAAAGCTAACAGAACATTAGAGTTAAAATCATTCAATATGACATATGTATTCTGAAATATTTTCATTCACAAACATCAAGATTCAACAAAGCTAACAGAACAGCTAACGAAACATAAAAGAGAGAGAGAGAGAGAGAGAGAGAGAGATAGAGAGAGAGAGAGAGAGAGGGGGGGGTGAACTTTCGTGATCAGTGGTGTTCATGGTTGAGTATTTTTACGTGGACGGTGACAGTGTTTCAAATACGAAGGCGATGTTTCGTGTGTAAAGAAAGACCAAACAATAAAACCCTAGCAGAGTGAAACGTAAAACTGAAATGTGTTGTGAGTGAGACCGTTCAATGGGTTGGTATTGGTTGTTAGTGTTAGAGAATTTTGTTGGCCCAAACATATTCAACCTAATTCCATAATAACCTTATTGGACCGTTCGAATGAGGATTTTTTAGGCTAAAAATGTAAACCTAAACTGACTGACTTAACCCTTATAAGCCCACAATTTATTGAACCTAAAGAACCGATAAATCGACTCAATCAAATCGTTGCTTAACAGGCTTGACAGTTTGGTCTGATTGGGTTGATTTCAAGATTTCTATCCATCCATTATTAGATACACTTTTACACAATCGAGTCACGACAAAGTTTCTCTATCAATTTTAAAGTTTTATTTGACTTATATATATATATATATATATATATATATATATATATATATATATATATATATATATATATATATATATATATATATATATATATATATATATATATATATATATATATATATATATATATATATATATATATATATATATATATATATATATATATATATATATATATATATATATATATATATATATATATATATATATATATATATATATATATATATATATATATATATATATATATATATATATATATATATATATATATATATATATATATATATATATATATATATATATAGGCGGAGGCAGCGCCCGGCTAGGTAGGGCAGTTATCCGGGATCAACCGCCGACAATATTTTTCGGTTTAACCAAGAACAGGTGCACCACTTACCTTTTCTAGTTGCATTTTCATTTCAATATTCATTTCGTTCCCTCAATCTCATTTCATTTAAGATTCACTTACTCATAAATTTTTCTATTTTTTTCAATTCTTTCATTTCATGATGTTGAATTATTGTTGTTGTTGATGATTGTTGTTGTTGCAGGTTGTGGTTTACGAATCGGTATCAAATTGTTGTCGTTTCCACCGTTTTACAACTTGCACACTAAGTGTTCGGTAAATTGTCTCAACCAAGTTTCTTTTTCTTTTTAGTTTCTGTTTCTTACGATTGTGTTATTGTGTTATATATTTATGATTGATCTCTATCATTGCTCCTTGTGTGATTATGTGACTTGATATTAAAATCTAAGATGGGAGGAATGTTTAAAATTGTCACAGTAAAAATTGTTGATGTCTTGATTGCTTTGTGTATTAGAAACTTTCAGTATACAACACACAAGCTGTATAATTTATATTATGATGTGTATTAGAGCAGTAAGAATATGGTGAATCGAACAAATGTTACGGCATCATCGAATCAAAAGTTGGAGATTGTGTTCAGATTAAAAGTTTCACCTATAAATACATTAAACTAAAAGTTTCGGTGTTCCGATTTGGCATTTTGTTCTTCTAATTGAGATTATGATTTGTCCATCTTTCTGTTTATTATCGTTAATATGTTTGATTGTGATTATGCTGGTATTTTCTCATTTGTAGTAATTGTTGTCTTGATTCTGTTAAGAACTTACTTTCCTATCCCACCCCGTTATTCTTGTCTTGTTATCATGATGATGTACAATTTAACATTGCAGAGCCGTTATATGAGGTATCATGTGTAACTGTTTCTATTTACTATTCAGCTGGAAAAATCAATGACATTGTTTCTGTTGCTGACTAGTCATTTGTTTGATATAGGGAATGTCGGGAGCATACAATGAGGATGTAGCTTTGAAAGCGTATCCAAAATGTGAGATTGTGGCATGTGAGGATTTTGAAGCTGCATTTAAGGTTCCATCATTCAATTTATGACTTACTTGATGCTTTAGTTTATGATTTATCCTAATTAATTGAACTTCAAATATATGGACATGACCTTTGAAGATCACTAGAGGATTGCATCTTCAAATATAATGAATGAATGGGGAAAATAAGTAGTTTTCTTCTCTAGATTGAGAAAACTACCATCATGGTTGAAAGGCAAGGGTTGTCCTTAATTAATGATAAAAGTGACATACAGGTTTTTTCATTCCACTCAGATGGAGAGAGGCCCAATTAACAATACAATATGAATATTAGTGTCCAACAGCCTATTATGCAGCAAACAGTAAAGGCTGGCTTGGCAGAGAGTCTTGGAATATCACCCAAGGCTAGCTTTGATATTGTCGGTGTTGACAACATCCGTTGAAAGAACTTTTCTAGCAATGAAGATGATCAAGTATAAATTACGCAATAAGATCGATGACGTGTGGTTCAATGACTTGATGGGATGTTACACCGAGCGAGAGATATTCAAGTCACTGGATGATATTGATAGTATTCGAACATTCACCACAAAGAAGTATCGGAAAGAACATTTGCCTTATGATTTTATTTAACACGCTATTGTAAGGTTATGTATTATGATCTCTTTCATTTTATTTTAGGCAATTTATATATTATAATGTGAATTTGCGGTCTTAAAATTTTTTGCTCATGCTATATAATTTTTCTGACTCCGCCATTATATATATATATATATATATATATATATATATATATATATATATATATATATATATATATATATATATATATATATATATGCGCACGTGTTTGTTTATATATGAGTTGATGACTTGATTCATGACAATGAATCAACCATAAATTCAATTAAAAATTGTCTTGCATTAACTTTGACTGTTTTTGTAGTATAAATTAATCCATGGCTTTTTTTATTTTTTTGGAATTAAGAAGGGCCGAAACTCATGAAAGAAAATTGCACAGTTACGTTCTTCATATAGAAGGTTTCAACAAGGTCTATTTCATAAAATTCATAAACCTCTTGAGAATACTCATTGAAAAAGCTAATATCTTGCAAACTAGTTACTCCGATTCTAGCAAAACCGTCTGCACGCTTGTTGACTTCTTGATAGTTGTGGATCACTTGAGTCTCCAAATTGTGATTCAACACCCTCTTGATATTGCGCTGCAAGCTCATTCCTTCATGTAAGGATCCATTCTCATTGCTTATCATCAGGTAAATGTCCATACAGCCTGTTTGGATTACCACTTGAGGTTGAACTTCATAAAACTCATTATCCTTATCCTTATTGCTACATAACTTTTTGGTCATGTTTAACTCCAGCCAATCCTGCAATGTAAGATTAAAGAACTCCTCTTTGTATGTGTTACTTACATGACTCACGCATACATGTTTGACTATATCACAATCCCTCAAAGCATGAAGGATAGTCTCTTTCATATCAGGACAATCAGCACAATAAGGATCTCCAATTCTACGCTCCGGTGCTCTAATTTTCCATATGCTGCTCCACTTATCAGAATTCAAACTCACACAGGTGCTCTAATTTTACATATGCTACTCCACTTATCAGAATTCAAACTCACGCTGAAGGAGATAATATTGGCCAAAGCACTTAAAATTGTGAAGCTACCACCATTCATTCCACTCCAGCTACAAGTGTCCTTCCATATTTAGCTCTAGAATTAATCCATAGATTTGATAAAATGAAAATGAAATCTTAAGTAAGAATCCACATAGAGGAGCTAAAATTAATCCATAGACTTGATAAAATGAAAATGAAATCTTTAGTAAGAATCCACATAGACCTCTCACAAAAAATTAATCCACACGGTCAACTCGACTCAATTGTCGCATAAACCTCTCACAAAAAATATCATCAAAGTTCAGCCTCAAATACATATGTGGAGGAAAAAGTTAGACATTGTAAAAGAATTATTTTCATTTCTTGTCTCCGTTTTCAATTGGGAAAGTATTATTCATTTAACATATTCCATTTCAGCCACAAGCTAATGCAAAACATTCATCCAATATTATACACAGAATCATTTAGAAGACTGAAAGAACAAGGAATAAGTACACATCAATCATTGTTCTGTCAAAGAAAAGAGTACACAGAATCATTTAAATTTTGACGGACTAGAAAAATCCCCATAAATTGAAGTTGCATAATACCATACAAAACTTTATTAGTAAAACCTAAACAGCTCATTCTATCATCAGAACAAAATGTATAAAATCTCAAAGAGTCAAATTCAAAGTTCAGCAGCATTTTTCAAATCACAAGTTCTTGAAAGCAGAGTCATGAGTTTCCTTCTGTGGTGTGAGTCTAGCAAGAAGTGCCTTATTGTGACAGTGTTCTGTGTCAACAAAATAGAAACTCCCATTAGCCTTAAATGTAACATACGGCCTATTCGTATCTGCTGGACGAATATCCGAAAACTTGATAGTCTTTGGGATATGTGTTGCCAGCCATGACAACATCTCCACCTCAAAGCTGTCTGAACCGGGTTGCCAGCGGAGTTTGTGAATGTAAGGGCTAACGAACCAGTGAAGGATGGCGGTTGTTGAAGCACTGAAGAATATCACTGATGATGCCACTGCACCCTTTAGGATGACATTACTGTCAGGGGAAGTCATGAAGGTTATGACCGGACCGAGAGATACCGAGAGGCAGCAAGTTGAGAGAGACAGAAGTTTTACTTTTTTTATGGTACTTGAGATTGGACCGTAGTAGAAAATTCCGGTTTCCTTGTCTTCTTCCTCAGATTGTCTTCTACTGGCAGGTCCAATGCTAATCTTGTCTTCCTCAGTTGGTGCAGCTTTAGATGCCCATCTTATTTGAGAAGCACCAAGTTGGGAAGAAGTCTTAAATGTCGGTTTCGCATTGTTCTGTGTTTTGAATATTGGATTAGCACTGATTGGCTGTCCGAATGTGGAGGACCTAAAACACTGGTACACTAAACCATAAAAACAAAAGTAACCAAATAAAAATATTAGCAATCATATTATTTGCAATAAATAAAAATTAAAGAAAAACAGCTTTAATATTGTTGGCATTTTCAGAAACAATACCCAAAACAGAGCTTTATATAAATTAGTTCAGGAAGATAATCTATTCAGTTTTGATGAATTAGAATCTTAAGTTCAAAAGATATGACATAATCCAAACTCAATTACTAAATAGAAAAAGAACAATTAAGAAAAAGAGAATGATGAACTTGCAATGAAAATTTTCAGAATACATGAAACGGAATAACAACAGTGCATTTATGCGCAAGTAAGAAGCATTAAAAACACTACATGTGTGATCATTATTTTAACAGAAGCATAACCCCAACATTTTTAACTCTAGATCAGGGTTCGGAAGGATGTTTATAGCTGTAGCTTCGTACCAATATACATCATAAGTTGAAGTTATGTGATAAATTTAGTGTCTTTTGGGGTCTACATTATAGTTTAAAGACTATTAGCATTTGGCATGAACCAAAACATTATGAACCATGGCTTAGAAGCAAATCAAACCAGGACCCATGATTCAATTAATTCAGTTTCATAACATCAGAGTTCAAGTTTTATTAAACCAGAAATTAAAGTCGGCTTGGGCGATGAAGGCCACTATTAATCATTGAACTGAGATAGATAAATTGAAATTTTAACATATTACAAATACAAATTTAGAATCAGAGTTTTTTTTTTGTGATAAAAAAAAAAGAGTAAGATATTATTCTTAAGGTTTGGTCACTGACAGTATACATCTATTTCAACCAGTAGTTTTAATAGAAGACTGCAAAAACTCGCAGAACCATAACTAGTACGAAAGTGAAACAACTTGTTGTCACTTTTTTCCGTACAAAACTTAACAATCTAAACGTTTTGTAAATAAAACTTCTTCACAAACAAAAAATTGTGTTTCAATTCTCTTTTTAAGCTTTATTTGTAAAACATCACATTGTTTGGACTTTGCTTTCTATTTTCAAAGTTTTACACTTTTGTACAAGAAACAGTAACAGACCCTATAAGTTTATATAGCTGCTTCCATTCTATCAAAGGCAAAGCTTATGTTGTGTTCAAATTTTGGCATGGACAGAAAAAAAAAACATGCACTACTAGAAGTCTCAGAATCAAGACATTACCATCACCATATATACTAAGAAAAGCACGCGCTGACAGAACATGATAATCACTAGTAAGCATTCACGTAAAGAGGTGAAAATTCTGAGTTGGTTCCCGTAATGAATATTTTAGAAGATAAGAGACCGATTTTTAGCAACAAAAGGGTTACAAATCAAGTCAAGAAAATCCATAGTCATGGCACTACAACCATACATCTCTTTATACCAGCCATGATGCCAAAGATCGCAGTACATTCGAGACTAATTCGATGAGTTTAAACACTGTACAAACTAAAATGTCTTTCTTATTGAAGTTTTTCTTAATCCGCCTAGCTGTTTGTCATCTTATTTTCAGAACTGATTAAGTTGAAAAATGATGGAATTAAGGGGAAAATTATAGCAGTGATTGTCAATAAAAAAATGTCACATCTTAAGCCAGTTTTTTCCCTAAAATTTTGTTTGGGATATAGTTGCAATATCAGCCTTTTCATAGCCATTGGAAAAGAAACATTTTAATGTACTTTCTTCTCATTTTCGCAGATGGACTTCACATAAGCACTTATAAATAAGCTATTTCTATTATAAAAGGTAAAATCAAATCAAATCATTTTCTTGTAAACTATAAGCCGTTTTCAAAAGCTATCTAGACTGAACTAATGAAAATAAGCTGAAAACAGCTTATGAGCATGTCGTATATGTTCTACAAGTTCTTCGAAAGAGTCTCACAAGTGCTTATGTTAATAGAAAATCTAAAATAAGTCAATCCAAACATGTCAAAATTCGCAAACAATATGAAACAACATAAGCAAAAAAGAAAAAGTAATACTTTGAAAATGAAGAAATTTAACACAGAAAACGCAATGGATATAATCTAAGTATGGTAGTATGCTAGAACAATAATAGTTTCATCGAATCAGAAGCATCAATGAAATTTGAAAAACCCTAAAAAAGAAAAACCCTAGTTTGGTGGGTTTTGTAAAAAAAAAATTTTAAAAAAAAAGGAGAGAGAGAGAGAGAGAGAGAGAGAGAGAGAGAGAGAGAGAGAGAGAGAGAGAGAACCTGAAGGAGTGTTTGTTGATAATGAAGAAAAGCGATTGCGTGTCTGTGATCGGAGCAAGTGAATCAGAGACATTGCATCAAACTCTGAATCTCACTCTCTTTCTCTGTGTGTGTGAGATGTAATAATCAAACAAAATATCGTATAGTACTGCGATTTGATTCAACTCAACTTTTGAGTTATTATTAATTAATTAAAATTAAGAATCGTTTCCATCGAAAAGGGCATTTGGTCTAGTGGTATGATTCTCGCTTAGGGTGCGAGAGGTCCCGAGTTCAATTCTCGGAATGCCCCTAATTTAAATTAGTTTTTAATAAAAATATTATATTCTGCTAAAGAGGTAAAAAGAAAAAGTTATAAAAATATTATATTCTGCTAAAGAGGTAAAATAAAAAGTATAGAACACATATTCTTGTTACGGAAACATACATCTTTAATTTTAGAAATAATTATATATACCTATATCTCCCTTCTTTTAATTATATATGTAATCATCTCTTCTTAATATTTTCTTTTCTTTTAACCAAAATTTTACTTTTTACTTTTAAAATTTTAATAACTTTTTAATTTATTTGGTTAGTAATGAAACTAGATACATGATTAACTAAAATGCATAAGATGATAATTTATATTGATATTTAAAAAAAACGATAATTACGCATATATAATTAAATATTTGAAAAATTGATATAGTTGATTTTTTTAAAACTCGGTCGGTGTTTTTTTTCTTTCATTTTTTAATTGCTTGTTCTTTTAGTGAGGACAAAAGGAAATGATGGTAGCATCATACAAAGGTTAGGCAATAAACGCGTTACAGATGTTGCATAGAGCTATGACGAAGACAATGAAGATAATGAGGTCTTGTTTTTGTGTGGTGTTTGGATATGGAGGTTAATGAAGGTGAGATAATACTTAGAAGGGGGGAGTTGAATAAGTATGAAAAATTAATACTTGAAAATAATCACACAATTATTTTTATCCTGGTTCGTTAAACAACTACTCCAGTCCACCCTTCCAGAGTGATTTGTCTTTCTCAACAAGGACTTAATCCACTATTAAATCAAACTGATTACAATAGTATCACCTAAGAACTACAGTTCTTAGTCTTCTCAAGAGCTACTGATTCACACTGAATCCTCTTAAGGAATATCCTTTACAAACAATGTAAATTAAATACAAGAGTTTTTAATGCTTCTATAAAGCTATAATCACAACAGTGATTTTTCTCTTAAGTTAAGTACAATGAGATTCTATGAAGAATAAGAATGAGAGCTTATAGAATATTGTGATTTCTTTTCAGCAAGTGTGTAACTGAAGAATGAAGTAAGGAACTCCTTTTATAGGCAGCTGAATCATGCACGTTGAAAAGAGAGTCTCAAAAGGTCTGAGCCTTTTTGTCTTCACATGTACTGACCTTTCCTTGAAATAGATGGCACAGATAAATCCTTTTTGTCTGTGTAAGTGTGTCTAGCACAAATAAGGAAAGAGACGTTGAATAGTTCCAATGGATATATTCTTGAAAACACTTCTTCAGTTTCAGCAAGTTCTTCAGAGTCTGAATGGATCAGAGTCTTCTGATGAGTTTCAGAACTATGCTGTATCAGAGTCTTCTGCAGCGTGTGTGCTTCTAGCGTGTTGATCATCAGAGCATCTTGACACAGAACTTCAGTACTTGGCAGCGTAGGTACTTTCAGAAACTTCTGTAGATCAATGCTTTGAGAAACTCTTCAATCAATATTCTTCTATACTTCTGATGCTTCAGCTTCAGATGCTTCTGATTATCTTCAGATGCTTCTGACTATCTTCAGATGCTTCTGACTCAGAATGTTCTGGAGCTTCTTGCTTCAGATCCTTCTGGAGACTACGCTCAGGATCTTCTGTAAGGAGCAAGCAGATTCTTCTGTAAGGTGCATCTGACGCTTCAGATTCAGAATAGCTTCTTGTATTCAAGGCAGATTTGCTTCTAGAGAGTTAATATAATTTTAATCTGCAGTAAAACTCTCAAACAAATTTTAGAGTATATAATTCTTAAATATAAATTTCCTAACAGTTATCATCAAAACAAAGAGTAATTATTAAGAACCAATCTGTGTTCTAACAGTTAACATGTTCACCAACTGATGGATCATTATGGTTAGATTGAGGCTCTAGATTGGTTCAATCTTATACAGTTTTTGGCCAACCCGAAACAATTTCCTCCTATGTCTTTATTGTCAATAATTAAGTGAGGAATATTGACATGGAAGCCTTGATATTGGTCCATGTGGGTGCCCCACTGAGGAAGCAAGTTTTTCGGACAAATGCCAACATGTGCCTTCGCGCATTGTTGTAATGTAGATAGAAAGTGCAATTATTTCATCTCTATAGAGACCAATCGTATTTTAGAGATCGTTCAATAATTTATTTAATTTAAGCTTGGTTTATTAGACGATTGATTGTTTTGTGAATACTTGAAATGTAAAATAACATAAAGTAAATTGAACTTTTCGTGCTTAACAGTAAGAAAACTTTGTCCATGTTAGATTTTATTGACCTATTCTTATGTAGCATCCTTGACTAGTAATATGCAATTCTTATCAGTTATTAATATTATTGTACGAATCGCTCATTGCGAGTCATGTTTGAGTTATTGACATGAGATCAGATGTATTACCTAATAGACAATCTCTCAGCCTATTAACTAATACGTCAACATTAAGTTTCAACAATAAATATGAATACTGAACCTAAATTTATGTATAGACTTTAGCATCAAATATATGAAAGACTTAGATCTAGTAATGACCGGTATCTTTTGAATATCAAGTCATGCCATGAAAACATGTTCTAGGTAGCTAGTCCCAAACAAGCATTAAGAAAAAAGAAATCATCAATACTAAGACTTAAGAAAACTTATATATAACACCATGGTCGGGATCAAAACATAAGTGATATGATAACTACACTTAACCCCCAACAAAATAAAAAATTAGCTATGCTTACTCATCATGGTTTTACAATTAAACCCTATAAGAAAGAAGTTGAACAACATCTATTGGCATTTCCTTAGACAGCGCTTCCGCCCTGAATCTTCCTCTTTTATTCTCTCCTATTATGATTTATGGTGAGAACCTAATTATATAAAAACTACCTCGAATCCACCAATGTATCTCAAATAAATTGCCTGGAACCCTTATTTATAGGGTTTGAAAGAGTAAGCTCACCGCCCTGGCTCGCTTAGTGCGCCTACTTTCTTCTTGGATAAGCAATGCCAACTCACACTCAACTTTCCTTGATGCCTTTGCTAGCTAAGTGCAGGGCTCACACTCGCTTTGTCATCAAACTCTTCCTTCACCTTTAAGTAACTTAACCCTGAAGTCATGAACTGTCTTTACTCGCTAAGTGCGTCTGTGTTTTTGGCTTAGCGAGGTTGACATTTTTGCTAGCTAAGAGCTCCCATGCTCTTGTCTTAGCGAGCCTTGATATGTTGGGAAATTACTTTGGCTTGGTCTTTGTATTGCTTTCGTGATTTCTTTACCTTTTTTACCTGTTTTAGTCAATGCACAATTTTTTTGAAATAAAAGATTATATATTTCAAAAGTCAAACTATACACGGCGATCGCTAAGGATCTAGCCCAACAACAAGGACAAACCAAAACAAAAAATTACATCAAATATCTAGCTATGTGAGCCCTATATTAGGGATTTGCCACCATTTATACACAATACAATCAATAACATTTCTAATATCTTTAGTATGATCTCTATTATGTTCAAATATCACCGCGTTATGATACCACCACACTTCGTATATGGTTTCAGCAGCAACCATCTTCAAAATTCTAGCTTTCCAACCCTTTCCTTTTGTTTGTCTTAGCAGCCAACCAATTTCTTCCTTCCAATCGCAAGGTTGATGGTTAATGTCCATCTAACACAACACATCTTGCCAAACAGACTTCAAGATATTGGACTTAAACAACAAATGGTCATGCATTTCAGAATCCTCACCATATATACCACACACATTGTTCTGCAGCAGGCCCAGCTTCATCAACCTCGACTTGAAGGGCAGACGACCATGACAAGCTAGCCAATAAGTAAAAACAACACACAATCTACCATAGTTATGCCTAATCATTTCACACCAATCCACTCTACTATTGTCATCCACCAGCTGGTGGTACAACTTACTCATAGAGAACTTTCTCTTCATCATCATATCATTCCATAAAAGTTGTATCTGACTCACATAACTCCTACTACTCCTGATATGCTTCAAAATCCAAGAACTATAAGTCCTTATAGCACCAGTCATCACATCTTCTCCTTTTAAGTAATAAACATGAATCCATTTAACCCAAAGATTGTCCACTTTCATACTGATATTCTGAATTTCTGGTATGCAGATCTCATGTGTTCCAAGAACATTGATCTCTGCTCAACAAGGACGAGGACAGACCATGACCAATTTAAATTTATTTAAATTGTTCCAATGTCATGACCAACGTCATGACCTCTGTTGTGACATCTGCATATTGACAGACTATTTATCTAAACATTTAAATTGTGCAGAATTGTAAATGCAGAAAGATAAATAACACCAGTAATTGTTAACCCAGTTCAGTGTCAACAACACTTACATCTGGGGGCTACCAAGCCAGGGAGGAAATTCACTATTAGCATAATCAATTCAAAGTCAAACCTCCAGTTTGCACTTCTCACTTAATCTCTACCCAATGAAACTTCATCCTAGAGACCACTAGACCTAAGTATACCCACTCACTCCCCCTCAATCACACAACAGTGATTTTAAACAATTTAATACAAAAGGACAGACTTTAGAAGAGACACTTCAAAGTCACAAAACTTGGTTTTGCTTAACAGCTTCAACCAAGGACAATACACTCTTGCTTAAAAGCTTTGAGTGAACACTTACGTCTAATTCACACATCAACCAATGTGTGAATGACTCACAATCCTAGCAGCCTACATAAGTCTACCACAATGCATCATAAGATACAAAGGGTGACTTACAAAGTCATACAAACGGATCTCAAACCCTTATTCTACACTCTGGTTTTTCTTGATATGAGTGC